CTGAGTGCCATGGCGGTCACCTAGCTCACGGCAACCTCAAACTCCTGGCCAAGCATCCTCACGCCAGCACTCCCAAGGTAGCTGGGACTACAGGCATGGCGCCACCGATGGCCCGGCAATTTTTTCTAGTTTATATTAGTTGGCCACAATTAATTTCTTTTCTATGTATAGTAGGAGACAGGGTCTCGCTCTCCCTGCTCAGGCTGGTTTGCGAAACTCCGGACTCGAGCACTCCGCCCGCCTGGCCTCCCAGAGGGCTAGGATTATAGGCGTGAGCCACCGTGCCCGGCCTTAAAAATATTTTGTACATCGAAAGCAATGTGTTTGAACTAATCGGAGAACTTTCTAGGATAATTCCTCTGAAGTTCTGTTCTGTCCTGAGTTTTCCAAGATCTATCTTAATATTGCAGAGGTGAAAACAGGGGTTGGGGACAAGGAGCTGATTCTCTCACCGGGCACAGGGAGGAGACAGAGCTGGGCTGCAGCGCCTTCCCCGAGGGTCCCGGGGGCTCTGTCTGGGAGGGTTTCCCGACCTCCTTCTGTTTCTGTTTACAAGTGTGTGTCTCTGGGCGTGTCCCCTCAGGCTCTAGGCGTGTCCCAGTCAGAGCAGCTCCGCCAGGAGGGTGTTTCATGGCTGCAGGGAAATTCCAGAGCAGATCCTGCCACTGCGGTGAGACATATTTCCCTGGGAGGGAACCAGGGCTGGGCAGCCAGGCCGGCAACAGTTTCCAGTCTGGAAGGGCGCGGGGCGTGGCTGGGGGGTGACTGTCCACCTGGAGGGCGGGGCCCTGGCTCCCTGAAGCCTGCACACGGGTTTAAATTTAGCCCTTCTATTCTGGGCCTCGCTGGGCCGGCCTCCCCACGTCACGCTGGAAGCAGTGGGCCAGTTTCCCCAAGAACAATCGCTCCTGCTGGGGGTGTGTAGGAGGCAGATCTTGGTCATGCTTTTGTGGTGGTGCGGAATTGTGCTGCAGAGAGCAATGGAGGAAAGTCCAAAGCCAGAAAAATCTTCCGTCCGAACATAGTCCGGAACCGGGGACCCTGCGTGCACACGCCCCACTAACTTCACCAGCAGAAATGTGTTTGTCCTACAGGCGTTTGCGGAGGGTCGGCCTCCTGAGCAATGGAGATGGGAACCGGCTGGGTCTCCAAAGGACTAAGTGACCGGGAAAGTGCTCTGGGAACACGCAGGAGCGGCACCACAATAATATAACCGTAGTCCCCATGATTGCCACTTCCTTCTGTTCTCTGCTCCAGTGCTCCCTTCCTGACCTGCAAATCTGTCCCCACCGCTCCCTCTCCCTGGCCACCCGGCCTTACACTCTCCCTGGCGGCACCATGGCTCACAGCACTGCTCTTGTCTAGCAGCTTCCTCTCCACAAGGCAGGGGCCAGGAGGGCAGGGAGTTGCTTTGCTCACTGCTGTGTCCTCGGTGCCTAGAGAACCTGCCCGAATTTACTGAGCACTCACTATGTGCCAGACGCTGTATGAAGTGTTTCAAGTGGGTTATCTAATTTCGTCCGCATGACAACCCTATGCAGGATTTTCCCAAAGCAGGAAAAGGAAGCCTCTCAAAGAGAAGTTGAGAGTCAGTTCATAGTTGACCCTGACAGTCTTGACCCTCAACCACCTCTCGACTTGGCCATGAGAACCACCCACCCATCCCACCCACCCCCACACCCTCCCCGCTTGGGGGAAAACCACCCTGCCACAGCCTTGGGACGGGTGGGCCAACCCCAACCCCCGCCCGCCCGCCCCACCAGCCTGGCTCTGGTGTGTGGCGGTGCAGAGGGGCCCTGGTCCTGCAGGGACCCAGAACATACAGTCAGCCCCAATTTAGGATTGCTCCACTTTGTCATAGTGAGAAAGGGGTCCACATTAGTAGAAACCATACTTCAAATTTTGAATTTTGATCTTTTCCCAGGGTAGCAATATGGGGTCCGACCCTCTGCAATGCTGGGCAGCTCCCGGTCAGCCCTGAGAGCAGGAAGGTAAGAAACCCATGCGCTACAGGGGACTGTGTTGCCGCAGGATTCTGCCCAACTGTAGCGGACGTAAGCGTTCCCAGCTCGGTGAGGTGGGCGAGGCGAAGCTATGGCGCTTGCTGTGTTAGATGTTTTCATGCAGTTCGACTCACCATATTTTCTACTTACAGTGGCTTTACAGGGACGTGGCCCCACCGTAAGTCAAGAAGCATCCGCACCGCTGGGAAGAGTTGTTTTTTATTTTTTTCCTAAACTCCTCTTATCTAATAGCAGAGCTTCCCCAAAGAACTGAGCTGTCCTCCATCCCCTCCCTGGGCGTTTTGCAACCAGGGCAGATTGAGGAGAAGCCAGCACCAGGGTAAGGAATCACCTAAACATTGTCACAAAAGTATCTCACCCGTCAGCCCTTCTCCAAGGGGCCCATTCATCTTTCCCAAAAGTAATTTGTTTTCCCAAAAGTGCCCTATCTCCCCTCATTCACTTATGAAGATGACATATAAGCCCCAAATGCTAACTGCCACCCCCAGTCACATTTTTCTGTGACATCCATCCTGCCTGCAAACGCCTCTCTTTCTTGTTAATTTGCCTTTTTCTGTTTTGTGCAGGTTCCCAAACGCTGAGCCTGAGAGGGTGGAGGAAAGTTCTTCCGTCCAGACAATACCAAGCTCGATCTGTCCATGCCTCTGTTCCAGTGGGAGGGGACATGCTGACCCCTGACCAGTTGTTGGTGGTCAGAATGGATTACTGCAAATTTATCTCCCAAATGGTCCCTGGGCATCTGAGGATGCAGTGATCTCTGTAACTGAGTTTCCTTTCCAAAAAGTTAACCTGCATCCCAACAAGACTCCAGGAAAAGAAAGGGCCCACCAGGGAGGGTGCCGCCCAGAGTGCTGGGTCAGCTGGCCATAGAGGGCAAGCAGCACTCACCCTGGGGGACTCGCTGTGGTCTGCAGTGCAGCCCCTAGCTCTGCCAGCCAGAGGGAATTCCTTTCTGGGGGACCAACTCACACTAACCAAACTCACCAAGCACTGAGGAAGAAACCACAATGCCATCTTCCTAGCTTGCAAAGAGAAGCCACTGTCTGGAGGACAAGGTGCACAGGTTGGCAGATTTGGACAGTCTCTCTTCAGGTGTCTGTCTGGCAGGAAACTACACTGCAGGGAGAACGATGCTGGGTTGGGTCAAGGTTGGCCTGGGCTCTCTTGGTGGGTGTCAGTGGCCCAAAGCAATGAGAAGGTCCAGATAAAATGGGATGTCCATGAGAAGAAAACCTCTGTGGGACATATACATTGTTAGGAGAAAGCACATAGCCTTCAGCTGAAAGTTTATTTCAGAGCATGACATGTAAACACTGACACTCCTAGGACTGCTCTAGTGGGAGAGAGGGAAGCCCACGCCAGGGAGCTCTGACCTGCTGGAACTTCTCCCCGTGGCACTGAGGTGTCCCTGGCCCATGACTGCCGGACTGCCTGACCCCTTAGCAAGGGAAGCAGACCTGGTTGGTTGCAGGAGGGTCCTATACTAGGAGGGTGGCATTTATTACCATGAGCTCAGGTCGGCTTGGGAAGACGAGGGTAGTCTCTGAATAGACAGCGATGAGGGTGCTCTAACACCTGGACTTGGTGACCACACAGATAAAGTCCTCAACTAGAAGACCAATCTAGGCCAGGCGCCGTGGCTCACACCTATAATCCTAGCACTTGGGAGGCCGAGGCGGGTGGATTGCTCGAGGTCAGGAGTTCGAAACGAGCCTGAGCAAGAGCGAGACCCTGTCTCTACTAAAAATAGAAAGAAATTAATTGGCCAACTGATATATACAGAAAAACAAAATTAGCCGGGCATGATGGCTCATGCCTGTAGTCCCAGCTACTCGGGAGGCTGAGGCAGTAAGATCACTTGAGCCCAAGAGTTTGAGGTTGCTGTGAGCTAGGCTGACGCCACAGCACTCACTCTAGCCTGGGCAACAAAGTGAGACTCTGTCTCAAAAGAAAAAAAAAAAAAAAGATTTTCACAGTGTCCCCAACGACTGGTGTGATTAGAAAACATCTGCGCTTGCATTGGTGACAGAGTCCCAGGCCCGCCCATGCTACTGTCGTGTGATGCCTGCACGCACAATGGAAGGAAATGCCAGATTGTAATGAAAGATTAGCAAAAATAGACATGTCGATTTTTCCCGTCCTGAATTCTCAGAACCCTTAACTGTAGGCTCTGAATCCCAGGCGTGAGGGTTTGAAGGGGCACCGGTGGGAGAAAGGGTGGATTTCTGCACATCTCCCCAGTCCTTCCCCTATCACGTGGGAGAGCCCGAAGGAGGGGCGGGCAGGGATGGCGCCGGGGCTGGGGGAGGGCTGGGGACTGTCCAGCTGCCGCCAGACACTCTGCCCCGGCTGGACGCTCCACCCGCTGCCTCCAGGCCTGCCAGGGACAAAGGAAACGTGTGGCACAGGTAGCCTGGCCGGGAGGACTGGTCAGGGGACCCCAGGCCTCCAGCTCCCCTCCCAGACGCCCCAGTTCCTTCCCTTCTGGGGAGACCGTGCCCCAGTCTCTCACAGCCAGAGAGTGCCCTTGGCCCCTCCCCGTCCCTCCAGAGGGCGGTTCCCTTCACCTGGACAGCAGGTGACAACAAGGACATGGGGTGAGGCCTGTGGCCTGCATCCTGCTTCACCTTCGAGGGAGCTTTGGGTGTGAACCTGGACACAGGGAGCCCAACCTCTGCTCTGGCTGGACAGTCCCGGCTCACAGCCGTGGGCTTGGCATGTGTTTCCAGTCTGTTTGCTTGATTTGCTTTAACGGAGTTTACTGACATGTTTAAACATACGTGAAAGAAGAACAAAATATTAAAAGAAACTGCATTTACCCCCTCGCCCAGATTCTACAAATCTCAGCTTCTGTCACGGTGGCTTTCTTGTCCCTTTCAGCACAATAGTAGTGCCTCTGTGCCCCTCAGAAGGCCTGGTCTGAACAACTGAATGCAACACTTGAGCCCAGGCAAGATCCTGCACTGGAGGAAAATAATTGCTTTTAACGACATCTCTGGGTCAGTTGATAAAATTGGAACATGAACAGTGAAGCAGAGCCAAGTGTGGTGGCTCAGGCCTGTGGTGCCAGCTACTCAGGAGGCCCAGGCAGGAGGATGCCTGGAGCCCAGCGGGTGGAGGCTGCAGTGAGCTGTGATTGCACCACTGCACTGCAGTCTGGGCAGCAGAGCAACACCCTGTCTTCAAACAAACAAACACAACCAGTCAAGCAGATACAAGGCTTATGTCAAAGATACAAGGCTTATGTTAAATTACAGAAGTTGATAAAAAGAAATGTGGTTTTGTAAGAATCTTTTTATTCTTTGGAGATACATGCTGAATATTTAAGAATATGGGGCCATGTGTCCCTGCAGGGACAGTGAGGGGCAGCCACAGCTGGGTTGCTCCTGCCCTCCAGAGCTGCTCCTGGGCAAGTGGGTGGCCTCTGGGGGCCATCCTGACCGGATGGGGCTCTGTAGCACCAAATGCAGCGCTTGTGGGTTGGCCTGCAGCAGTCTCCTGCCTGGGGCATCTGTGCACGTCATGGACAGAGCTGCTGCCCACTGGAATGACCCAGAACAAGAGCCCTTGTCCATCATCTTGGCTTTTCATAATGGCCCAGGGTTCCTGAGATTCTGAGGACCAAGAAAAAGATGGCATCTTTCCTTATTCAATTCTGGGTCAGAACTTATCATGTCTGCTCTGATCACCCAATGTCTCCTCTCTACATCAATTAGTGTGCGCCCTCCCCCTGCCATCTTCCTGCACCCCGAAACCACGGGCGTGACGACAGCATCCCTGGCTGACAGTGTGTGCTTCATTTAATCTTCCCAGGAACCCAAGGAGGTAAGTACTATTATCTCATCTCGGCTGCTTATAAAAGGAGAACTAAGGTCACCAAGCTAGAAAGGGGGAGCTGGGCTTCCAGCACAGGCAGGACGGGAGTGGGGGGAGGCAGTCAGAGCTGCAAGTGCAAGGTGCCCTGCCCCAGAGGACTTGGGAGCCCAGAGGTGGCAAGGCCCACTCTGGAAAGGAGACGCGGTGGGGCGCAGTCCAAGGTTTAGGAATGCCCCTGAGTGTTGGGAGTATCTGGAATAGGGACTTAGGAAGCAAACTTTAAACCCCAGCTTACCCGGTAACTGGCTGGGAGACTTTGGGCAAACTCTTTGACCTTTCTGTACCAGGGTTTCCTCCTCTGTAAAACAGGGGTAATAAAGCCAGGCTCAGTGGCTCACACCTGTAATCCTAGCACTCTGGGAGGCCAGGCAGGTGGATTGCTCCAGGTCAGGAGTTCAAAACCAACCTGAGCAAGAGCGATATGCCGTCTCTACTATAAATAGAAAGAAGTTAATTGGCCAACTAATATATATAGAAAAAATTAGCCGGGCATGGTGGCGCATGCCTGTAGTCCCAGCTACTTGGGAGGCTGAGACAGGAGGATCGCTTGAGCCCAGGAGTTTGAGGTTGCTGACACTACAGCACTCACTCTAGCCTGAGCAACAAAGTGAAACTCTGTCTCAAAAAAATAAAATAAAATAAAACAGGGATAATAACAATGCCTCACTGGTTATCGGTGAGGATTAGAGAGTCACCCACACACAGTTCAGGACAGAACTGGCTGTTTTTGGAAAAATGCCACCTCCTGTGCGTTTCTCCCTTAGAGCCTCCAGGTGGCCTGGGGCACTCCCACACTGGCTGAAATCACTTAATGAGCTTAGCCAATAGAGGGTTGATTAGTCAAGCCATTATCACTTTAGAAGAAAGTACAAAAGGTTGTAAAGGAGAAAGGATAGGTCCAGGTGAAAAGGGTTCCAGAGGCCTGTAGGGCTGTGAGGTCTTTTCCCATGCAAAGAGAAAGGTTTGCAGGACACTGGGTGCCCTGCAGGTGGTCTGGTCACCTTGGGGGGTGGCAGAAGCTGAGGTGAGAAGCTAAACAGCTGGCCTGTGCATTTTACTCTTACAAGGGTCAGCATTTCTCAAAAAAAGGTTTTTTAAAGCGTGTACTACCATTGGACTTTCAAAAAGTATCAAAATTTCGAAGAAAAGTCTTTGTCAAATACTTTACTTTTCTCCAATATGAGTCAGCCCAGGGAATACTTGGCTAAGTGGGTTTCTAATTAACACAGGAAGGGTTTTCTTCAATCTTTAGCTTGAAGGCTTGAAATTTCCAGCAAGGGCAACAGGAAGGGGCCATCCTCAGCAGTGTGTTTAGTTAAGAAGGTTCCTCTTGCCCTGGAGGACTTAAGGTGACCTCTGCAGCCGGCCCTGCCAAAAGAAATTTATCAGAAACGGGAAGAGCCGCTGTCCTGCCCCACTCCTGAGCCCCCTGGGACAGGAGCGGGCACCACTGGACGAGATGCTTGCCCACCCAGACTGCTGGGCTCCAGCACCCAGTGTCCCCTCCTCCGGGTCACACTTTTGAGTGCATTGGCTTCAAATGTTCCAAGTGTGACGATGGGCAGGAGGCTCCCCTTACAATGCGGATTCGGTTCAGTAGGTCTGGGGTGGGCCTGAGACCCTGCATTTCTAACCAGCTCCCAGGTGGGAAGTTGCTGGGGTTCAGGGGCCTCACCTGCGAGGTGATGGGCAGGAGTGCATGACCTGGAGGTCATGCCCTGCCCTCTGCCCTCCTGACCTTGCTGCTGCAAATTGCCCAGGACAGTCCATGTCCATCAGAAATGTGGCTGCCAGCCAGTTCCTGGTGCCACAAGTGTGGGCTGGACCACGCCATTCCTTGTTGCTGGTGGACGCTGTTGTCAGTAGAGGCAAGATGGGCAGGGTCTGGGGACAGCTTTATCATGCCAGGGGTGCAGACCCCTGGAGTGAGCTCTCATCTCAGGTGAGCCTGGCCCAGCAGTGGTCTTGGTGGGGAGGAGGGGCCAGAGGTTTCCCCTCCCTCCCCACCCCTACCTTCCATGGGTGCCTCAGCTGCCCAATCAAGTAAACATTTCTTAACCTGCCCATCAGACCAGTTTCCCCAGGTCCTTCCCAACTGGTTTCTACTACAGGGTGTGCCTCCCCCATATGGCTGTGGAAGGAAAGCCATCTGCCAAGAACTGAAACATGCCAGTCAGTGCTGCTGAAGGGACATGGGGCATCGTACTCTTCTACTGTCGTGTGTTGAAAATGTACATACATTTGCCAGGCGCGGTGGCTCACGCCTGTAATCCTAGCACTCTGGGAGGCTCAGGCGGGCGGATTGCTCGAGGTCAGGAGTTCAAAACTAGCCTGAGCAAGAGCGAGACCCCATCTCTACTATAAATAGAAAGAAATTAATTGGCCAACTAATATAAATAGAAAAAATTGGCCAGGCATGGTGGCGCATGCCTGTAGCCCCAGCTACTAGGGAGGCTGAGGCAGGAGGATTGCTTGAGCCCAGGAGTTTGAAGTTGCTGTGAGCTAGGCTGATGCCACGGCACTCACTCTAGCCGGGGCAACAAGAGTGAGAATCTGGCCGGGCGCCCTGGCTCATGCCTGTAATCCTGGCACTCTGGGAGGCTGAGGCGGGCGGATTGCTTGAGGTCAGGAGTTCGAAACCAGCCTGAGCAAGAGTGAGACCCCCGTCTCTACTACAAATAGAAAGAAATTAATTGGCCAACTAAAAATATATAGTAAAAAGTAGCTGGGCTTTGTGGTGCATGCCTGTAGTCCCAGCTACTCGGGAGGCTGAGGCAGCAGGATTGCTTGAGCCCAGGAGTTTGAGGTTGCTACGAGCTAGGC